TTACCTAAGACAAAAGACTACTCCAGCAAGAAGGCACCGGCCCGACCCCCTCAAAGGTCCGAAAAAACTTGGACAGCCTTCCACATCGGCCCACAAAACCAAAAACTCATTTATCAAAAACAAACATACATAGCAGAATTGGCATTCCCGACATTCATCTCAAACTACACACTCGCGTCACTGCCAAAGAGGAGGAAGAAGATAAGAGACAACTTACCTAAGACAGATGGCTCCTCCAACAAGAACGCACCGCCTTCCCCCCTACTAAGGGTCCCAAAAAACTGGGAAAGCCTTCCACGCCAGCCCACAAAACGTACATTCCCCCCAAAGAGAACTCGTGGCCACCCGAAAAGATCCAAGCAGCCCATGCCCTGAAGCAAGGCAAAGAATTAGGCCGTGTATAATCAACAAAACCAACAAGACATATGCAACCACAAAAGGAGAGAATAGCTCACTAGTACTATGTATGTATGTGTCCAATAGATCCCACGACGTACTCGCCATGCACCCTATGAAACCCATGGTACACCCCGCCCTGCCGCAACCAAACTAACACTGCATGCTGTCACTCTGCGAACTCAATGGAGCTACCTCGTACAAACGTGGTTATCCGCGACCAGCTTTTCCTAAGTGCCAAAAACGTGCAAGCACACCAGCAGGCAAAGCCCCAAAAAAATGCCAAGACCAGCCAGATAAGAAAAGCATCAGGGCATGCCAAAACCAAGCAAGCAAAAAAACATCAAGGCACAGGCTGGAGGGCACGGGGGAGGCGGGAGGGCAGACAACAAGCACACAAAACCAGCACACAAACACACCAAGGCAGGCAAACCGAAAAAATACAAGTCCCAAGCAAATCGAAAGACCGAAAAAAATAAATAAAAACAGATGATCATAGAGATTGTTTCGTCGGAGTTGCACCGACTCATCAGGAGGCTGAACCCTCGACAATCTGCGGAAACCCCGTATTTGATGGTTTGGGTCATGAACCCTTTGACCCATGTTGAAGGCAAACGGTCCCCAAGCGGGACATAGCAGCGGGCAGCAACCCTGTGGAGCACCAGGCAACATAGCAGAGGCAGCCCAACTGTTTATCACCAAAGACTGCAAGGAACGACAGGGCAAGCGGACGAGCAGTTGGGCAACCGTGCGGTGAAGCGCAAGGCAACATCAGCAAGGCGACCAGACTACAAGGCACGCAAGCATGTAAAGGACGTGGAAGGTCAACAGGGCAAGCAGACGAGCAGCTCGGCAACCGTGCAGTGAAGCACAAGGCACCACCAACAAGGCAACCAAACTACAAGGCATGCACGTAAAGGACACTGAAGGCCGACAGGGCACACAGACAAGCAGCTCAGCAACCGTGCAGCGAAGCGCGAGGCACCACCACAAGGCTACCAAACCACAACACGCGAGCAAAAGACACGGGAGGCACGACCCGCGGGTAGGCGGCAAGGCAGCAGAGCAGCGAGGACGACCTGCAAAGCAAGCGGCATGGGCAGCAAGACCGTGGCAGAGCGCAGACAAGACAGTCTACACATCCAACACGGAGCAAAGCATCACATGACCTACTCACATCACGATAGAACCCCGCAGACTGTTGGTTCCCACCACCCGGTGAGCCAGGGGGACACTCCGACGACCATCTGTCATCACCGACAGGCAACACAGACATCCCGAACGGAGCGGCCCCCCTAAGAGTGCAGTTGGCACTCCAAACGAGGAACCACCGACTGTTTGGCACTGCTAGAGGGTGCTCGGCTAGAGACACAAAAAGCACTTAGAAAAAATAGGAGAAAGAAAAACAAGCATACCTAAAACTGATTGTGTGTGTGTGTGTGTGTGTGTGTGTGTGTGTGTGTGTGTGTGTGTGTGTGTGTGTGTGTGTGTGTGT